CCAGCCACTCCTCGGAAGGAAGGTTGGGCAATCTACTTCCGTAGTGATACTGCCTCAGAAACCCAAGGAGGGGGGTCGCTATGAGCCTGGTCGGACTTGATGGCACATAACAATAACAACAAATCCTTTTTAACTCTGCAATCTATCATTACGTGGTCTCTTTCACCACTCCTCTATGAGAGGATAGTTACTGAATACCAATCTAACCCTGGCAACTCATAAACCAAGGGAAGAGCCCCAGCAGAGAAGATGCCACTCAGAAACACTAAACACAACAAAGACCTAGCAGCTGGCTTCATGAGGCAACACTGACCAACAGCCACAAGGAGACATCATCAAGACCTTGCCTCAAGACCTTGACAGCAGGCCCTCTGCAGACACTGAAGCTGCTCTGCTAGCAATGCTGCCAGCAGGATTCGGATGAAGACTCAGCAGATCGCCCAGTGCCTAAGTTGGGAACCTAAGTCTACCCAACTGCAAAGCCCCAACCCTTTTCCTGACAGTAGGTCCAGTGACATAGTACCTAAGGCATCTGACTGCTAACCAGAAGGCTGGCGGATCAAACCCACCAGCCACTCCTCAGAAGGAAGGTTGGCCAATCTACGTCCCTAGTGATACCGCCTCAGAAACCCAAGGAGGGGTCGCTGAGTTGGATCTGACTGGATGGCAGTGAGTTTGGTTTTGGTTTGGTAGGTGCTATGTCAGAAGTGCCTGCTCCTGCTCCATCGTGCACATTTCCCAAGGCCAACATGCTCCTTGATCTCACTCAAACCTACCCACCAAATCCTATCCAGCAAAGTGATCTTTCCATCAGTAATGTCTGTGCAGTGTTTTTCAACAGCTGCCCCTCTCTCCCTACTAAGTAAGTAAACTCTCAACTTTCTCCTGGCATTGAGGGCCTCTCCCTTTAGGGCTCTGTCCACCTGGGCAGCCTCAACTCCCTTTGCCACCCCAAAGGCTTCCGAAAGAGATGGGTTTACTTCCCTCCTCCCATCCTGGTCACAGGAAAACTCCTACTCCTCTCAAAGCCTCTGTGCCCCATGAGTGCACTCGGGAGAGAACGGGCCTCAAACCAACCAGTTAATGTATGGACCCCCAAGAGAGGGCGAACTCAGAAGTCTGGCACCACGGAGGAGGTGGATCTCGAAACTTAAAATCCACTACTTTTCTGTAGGGCTGGTGAGAAAGGTATAAATCAAAATGGGGACCTGTCCATGAGGCCCATAAATCCCAGCTCGCCCCGCAATGGATTAGCCTCTCCAGTCTTGCCAGACCCTCAGTCCCTGAATGTCCTTAATCCTCAATGAAGTCGTACCACTTGCTCCTGCGAACAGCCTGAGCCGCCAGCGCCCCTGCACCGTCCATTTTTAACGAAAAGAACTGAAAAGACCCAAAGTCCCGAACACTTCTTGGTGCTTACTTGTTTTCCTGGAGTAATCTTTATCCAGAAGTGCCAGGTGAGCGTTCGGGCCGGTTCTGACCCGCTCACAGACTACTTACCTTGAGATCCAGGCAGATTCTTACGCCACCCCACCCGCCGGGGCGCCTCCAGGGGCCACAAGGGCGGGTTTTGAAGCTCCAGACCCCACCATAGCGGGCCCCCCCCCCGAGACACACACACACACACACACACACACACACAAAGTTCCTCCCTTTGGCCAGGCCGCCCATAAACCGCGGGGACGACCCCGCCCACTGTCGCCAAATCCGAGCTCTCCAGATCGGGGACCTACTGGTCCTGGCCGGTATCAGCAAGGGTCATACGGCCATTCAACGAGTCCCCCAGACACGAGGGGAACAGTCGGCAGCAGCATGTGGGCACGGGCAGAACCAGGAGAATACGGGGCGGCGCACCGGCAAGGAGCCGTGGCCTTCGGGGACCAGCCAGGGCCAGCTAGCTCGGCCTTGGGACTGCCCGGACGCCGCGGGATGCGGGCTGCGGCGAGGAAAGAACCCCTCCCCCTCCACGCTCCGGGCCTCCGCCAGGCCCTGGGGCCCAAGGCGCAATCGTCCCGAGGAAGAGGAGGAGCGGGCAGAGACGTATAGGAGGACACTTACGTAGGAAGGCTACATAGTTTCAGCCCCTGCTCATCCCGGTGCGGTAGTGGCACCTCCTGGTCCCTCGGCTCAGAGCTCAGTACCTACCAAGCCTACACTATCGCTCTGTTCCACCCTTACTCGGCCGTTGGGCGGACCTCCGCCCTGTTGGCCAATGAGCGGCGGTCGCTACGCAGAGTGACGTTTGCACAGAGCAATCATTGAGTCCGGCCCAGCCAAGAAGCAGGGCACGAGCGCTTCCTATTCATGCTGGGCCAGCCCCGAGCCTCCAAGTGCGCTTGCCCAGAACCGGAGGGGACTAGGTCCGGAGCAGATCTGATACTAGGGGTGGGGTCCAAGCTCGGTCGCGGGGTCTGGACCCACTTGGAGAAAGAGGTTTCGGCCCAGCCACTCATCCTTCACCACCCGCTTCGGAGGATGGTGGTGCACAGTCCCACGAAGCACATCACTCCCTGTCGCCAGCAGGGTCTAGGAGTCGGCGTCCCATGTTCTGGTCTCCTGACTTGCATGGACGCCTGGTGACTTAGGCTCCCATTTTCCCTGGGCTTCAGTTTCTACATCCGTAAAACAGGGAAGGGTTGGACCACCTGAGCGCTACATTCCAGAACTGTATTGGGGTACCGAGGAGGATTAGACGGGGGACCCACACGTGACCTTCTGGCGCGGGGCCCCGCCTACTCCTCGTTCTAAAGGTTGAAGCGCTAGCTAGGACAGGCGGAGGTGGGCGGGTCCTAGGAAACGCTATCCGGCCGCCCTCGGGAGCAGCTAAGGCGCAGCGCGCGCCTTGGTGGCTGGCTGGCCCTGGCGTCGACGCCCGAGGAGAATGGAGGCTGCGTCCCAGTCCTCGCGAGGGGCCACTATGGTGGCCAGTGCCTAGCAGAGACTAGACGAGAGAAGATGGACGAGCGGACGAGAGACTGTTAACAGGGCTCCCTCGCCGCACTCAGTCTGCAGGGGCGCACGTCGCGGATCTGAGCGAGTCTTGGGCCATGAAGAGCTCACGAGCCGCCCGGCCAAGGGCAGGCGTCGGGGATGGCCGCATCCTGCGACTGGGGGCGTGAGGCTGTAAGGACGCGGGAGACTGGCCGCTTCTGAACGCACAGCCATGGCGAGGGAGGAGTGCAAGGCGCTGCTGGACGCGCTCAACAAGGCGATCGCCTGCTATCACCACCTGGTGCTGACCGTTGGCAGTTCCGCTGACTCACAGAACCTACGTGAGGAGCTGCAAAATACGCGCCAGAAGGCACAGGGGCTGGCGGTGGCTACCCGCGCCCGGCTGACGGCTGTTCTACGCGACCGGGACCTGGGCGCCGAAGAGCGCGCCGAGTTCGAGCGCCTCTGGGTGGCTTTCTCCGGCTGCCTGGAATTGCTGGAGGTGGACATGCAGCGAGCGCTGGCGCTGGGCGCTGCGTTCCCGCTATACGTGCCGCGGCGGCCGCTAGTGCACACGGGCGTGGCGGCGCGCACCTTTAGCGCCCGCAGCCTGAGACACGAGGTGGACCGCGACTTCGAAGTGGCGGACCTGCGCGAGCTGGAGCACGAGATCCTCCAGGTCCGCGAGATGATCAGTGATATGGAGATGAAGGTCAACGTTCCCCGTTGGACTGTGCAGGCTCGGCAGGCGGCGGGAGCAGAGGTCCTGGCCAGCGCCGGCGCTTCCTCCGCCGGCGGCGTGTCGGTACCGGAGCACACCGGGCCCTGTGATCCGAACAAGGCCCTGGCCGCCACCATTTTCGGCGCTGTGCTGCTGGCGGCCGTGGCCCTGGCCGTGTGTGTGGCAAAGCTGAGCTGACCGACGCCGACGGCCACCCTAGCCGCCGCTGCTCCCCGGGGAACCCCTCACGTAAAAAGACTCAGGATGGGCGTGGGGCCTAGCATGTTTAAGGCGAGAGGTTCTGAAATCCGTTGAGGGGGGCGCGTTTCAAGCACGCATCAGTCTTCAGAACCTAGTTTCCTCTTGCCGGGAAGAGTTAACTTTTTCACGAGCCGTCAGGGCTTTACAGCTACGGCTGCAAGAGCTTTACCTCCTATTAATAGAAGAAGACCGTCCACAGTGACCTCAGATACCTCGGAGTTAATGGGTTACCGCGGGTGTTCCTGGGGCGTATTTACAACGAGTCATAGCTTTGGTGCCCCAACCTGTCTTTGCGTCTCCTACTATCCCCATGGGGCAGTGGAATGAGCTATGGAGACCGTGCTGTTTTGCTCTGTGTGGGTGATGGTTTTGTTTCTTGGTCAAGCAAATTGCAATAAGGTGTAATAAGTTTTTATTATTTTAATCCTTTGGGGCCTATGAGCTTAGGAGAGTGTGCAAACAGAACGTCATGCAAAGTGCTTTTTCTAGAGTGCATGGTTGCGCTTGGCATATTGTATTCCTTAGTCATCAAAAGCACTGAAAGAGGCTTGGGTTCATGACCTATGGGTAGGCTGGGTCTGACTCTACTAAGGAAATTAGGGAAGGCCCATTGAACCTGTTCTGGTGGGCTTGGATCCACTGTGCACACGTCCCTGCAGAAGAGCCCCCTGCCTCCAGCCAGACCAGGTGGCATGGAGGCTTGAGATGGGCCACATGTTTTTTAAAGGGGCACTTTCTCCTTCACTGAAGCTTATTTTTGTTCCAGAACTAGACCACAGTGTTTGATCCTCCTTTGGGGAGTTCTGGGGAATCCTCTTTGGAGCCCTTAATCCTATCTGTGCCCTTATTTGCTTGCTGGCCTGTAGGAGTGCTGGCTTTGGAGGGAGCTGCAGAGCTCATTGACCTGGACACTGCCGCCCTGAAGTGAGTGACGGTGGCATCATCAGCCCACAGAGATACTGAGCCAATCAGCTCTGAGACTGAGGTAAAATGTAACAGCTTTCAGCTGGAATTTAAGAAGCTTTTAAAAATAATCATCGTTCAAAAGAAAAATCATCTAACCACATCATGTACCCTGAAACCTGTTTTTTTATAAAAGGTTTTGGCCATGAATTCATAGTGCCAATGGGTCAAAATTAGTGATCTTTACATAAATGTATGTATTACTAAATATACATCTGCATATATGCGTACATTTAAAAGTTACCCTCTTGAAGGCGGTACGTAGGTTATAGTGAAAACTACTGGAACCACAGTTGCAGGTGTAGTTAAGTGGCCCCTTTTTTTTTTTTTTTTCCTAATAAATAAGAAAATGTGGAAAACACTCTGGGTACTAACTAGGTCGGCTGGGAGAGAGTGCTCTGGTGCATTCTTGGGAAGATGAGGCTAAGAAAACAGATGCATTTACAGCTCTCGCAGTAATTTGGAGTAAAATCCAGGGACTGGTTTGGCTCAAAACTGACAAGGATTTTTAAAATATATTTTTGCTTTAGAAATGGGGCTGGGAGGAAGGAATTGGCAGTTTTTCATAAGGGACCTAGGCAAACAGCAGCAGGAGGGCAGTCTGGGCCACCACTTCCTACAAAACCAAGCCATTTCCACACCCTCCCAGCCTAGCCACTCCCACTCCTCAGCTGAAAGATCCTTTATCTCAGGCAAAATA